TATAAAGATAGATGTGTATACCTCATTTGATCCTGAAATCAGTCCTATGAAGTGTACAAATGAGGAATACATGCTAACAGCTAGTAAAGCCACTATCTCAAGAGCCCATGCTCTTGACTTAGCTCCTTCTAAGTAACTTTAAGTGATTTAGCTTTTCTGAGGTGCCACCCGGTGTCCTGGGGGGTTGGTCCTTGAGAATGGAGAAGCCTTCTGTAAATGTAGGGCTCCCACTCACCTTTCTTGTCCCTTTCCCTTCTTTTTTCCTACCCTAGAGAGAAGAACCACTTCCTTTGCACTCTCTGGTGCTCCCCAGAGACCCCAGGAAGGCGGAGGACACCTGTCCCCAGCAGAGGAACAAACCACCCAGGCCCCCCAGCTTTCAGACTTGGCACCAGCCTCGGAGTCCCCATCAGCCCTACAAGAGATGAGCTCTGGGGCTCCAACCAGCCCGCTGGAGGCATCCTGGGCCGGCAGCCAGAGTGACTCCCCGAGTGACGGCAGTGAGGGCCCTGAGTACCTGGCCATCGGCAGCCTGGACCCCCATGGCCAGCCCAGCAGCTGTCAGAGCCCCAGCAGCAATGCTGGGAGCAGCAGCTCGAACCTGTTCTCCTCCAGTGGCTCCCAGAAGCCTGGCTCTACTGCTTCTTCTTTAGGAGACCAAGAGGGCGGCAGGCAGAGCCAGCTTTCCAGCATCCTCCGCAGGTCCAGCTTCTCAGAGGGGCAGACGCTCCCTGTCACGGGTGGGACGAAGAAGAGCCACATCCGCTCCCACTCGGACACCAACATCGCCACCAGAGGAGCCCCAGGTCAGCAAGGGGCCCCAGCATTGAAGGGGGAGGAGGGTTTGTCCCTGAAGCCTTGCAGGTGGCAGGGGAGAATTTGTGTTTCTGATGACGGACATTCCGCTTGATAACGAGGAGAGGTTCGTGATGTAATACTCAAACCCGAGAACCGCTGCGCGTGTCTGTTTGTCCCTTTACGTAGGGCTGAGCACCCGGTGCTTCCCTGGACTCCTTCAGCAGTTCCTTAGCCTCAGAGGATAGGGACGTATCACAGCTCAAGTTTTCAATCTCTCTCTCGGGCTGAGGGAAAGTGTGAAAGAGCTTTAAAAATAATCCTGTTAAATTCCTCCTCTGCCTGTGGTTCCTGAGAGGTTTGGTCAGGATATAATACCAGTACCCGGTGCTATTGGGGCTCCCTGATTAAAACTGGGGAGATAGTGAATGTGGGTAATGGGACCCGGTAAGCAAGTAGGTGGGGTCGATGGTTGCATCACTAGCGCAGGCTGAGGCAGTCAGGTAGGGAGGCCCCAGCCCTGGGGCTCATGTCTGAAAATGCGAGCTGACGGCAGGAGTGACGTGGAGTGGCTGGGGGTCTCACCGTTTCAGCCGTGTCCCCACCGCCATTGCTCCTGGGTTGTTGGTATCTAGCGGGCTTTGGTTGGGTTTTGTTTGTGGCAGCCCTTGTAACAGAAAGTACAGAAGCATTCTGGATCAAGAGTGCCCCAGAAATGAAATAGTAAAATAAAATATAAAAAATTTAATAAGACAAAAACTAAGAATTTCTTTCAAGAACAGAGCTATTACTATTCTCCTGTTCTACAAAGATGAGAACTAAAGGCCTCATTTGAAATCTTACAATGATTAAATTTGTATTCCTGTTTCTCCTCAAGAATTTCATCTGACTTGTGGGAACTCCTCAGGAGAAAACCCCCCAACCTAAGCCTGCCTTGCCATGAGCTTTCTCAAATACGAGGCCGCGTGGGTCGGATCTTCCCAGCACACCAACCACAGGCCTGGTTCCCCGCACTCCTGGTCCCTGGCCTTTGAGCATGGGAAACTTCCCTGCCTCTGCCCCTGAGCCCACATGGGTTCTACACAACTCGGTAACCTGCATGGGAAGCACAGCCAGGGAAGACTGTCCACGAGGGTCCGAGGGAGCAGGGTCCTGCTTATTAGCTTTCTGTGTTGGGTTCTCTCTCCTTCTGCAGCAGGGTTCCCTCTTGCAGTTTGTCCCCCTCTGCCTGCTAAGAAGACATTTTTCCCCTTTGTCTCCCTCTAACCGTGTCTGCTCTGTCTGGACTCTCCTCTGCACCTGTCTGCCTGCAGGAGGCCCCAGGAATATCACCATTATAGTCGAAGATCCCATTGCAGGTTTGGGAGCCAGCTCTCCACCCCTTTTCCTCTGTGACCACCTTGCTCAGTTCAGGAACCTCCTTTTCCAGTCTGGTGTCAAATCAAGCCTGCCATTCTGGTCCTGCTGTGGTGCTGGAGCCTGTCTGTGAAGTGACACCAATATTTCACATAAGCGTCTGCCTCCAGCTTCCAAGGGCCTCCTTCAGTCCTCCCAGTATCCTCTGGGAGGCAGAGTAAGACTTGAAAATTCAGTTTCGCCAAAGGTGCAACAGGCCTGCTGTTGTCTAAGGACTCGTGATGGCTCGGTGGCGGAATGTGTCTTACAGTGGAACACTTATCCAGATGACTTACCGTTCCTTGACTTAACACCAGAATGTGTTTCCTGCCCTCTCTGTGGTCTTGGATATACCTGCATGTTTTTTACCCGTTCAAGAGTCCCTAGTTATTTTCTTTCACCTGTCTTCGTCATCCCTGTGTGAACCCTTTACACCCCACCCTGGCCATTGCACACTTTCACAGTGACTTCCATCTGTTTGCTTTTGTTTCCATGGTGATGTGTGTTTCCTGTGGGTACTGTGATTCACTGAGATGGCAACCCTGCAGGTCTGCGGGGCAGTGGCAAGGGAAGACCGGAAACCAGGGTCTCCTGGTGATGGGGAAACCCTGGGTGCATTAGCTTGGAAAAGAGAAAGTAAAAGAGGAACCAAGTCTGCAGAAACATCCTTTGTCAGGCATGCTTGTTCTTAAGGAGATGAGAAATGATAAGAAGGCAGAGTGCCCCTGAGACCAGGAAATGGTAAGGATCAGTTGAACAGGCAGCAGCAGAGGTAGAGAGCTCAGCTGGCAAAGGCTGAATGGCTCCATGTTGTAAGGAATTAAGGTCATGGTGTTGGAATTTGCGCTGTGAGCCAGGTTTGACTGGGACTCTCACATGTGCCTTTTGAGACGTGCCTTACCAAGGTGTCACAGTGATGGCCAGTTGTGCTCAGCTCAGCAGTGCGGAGCAGAGCCCACTGCCAGGGCCAGCAGCAGCCTCGGAGGGCCCAGGAGGACATGAGTTGTCCCTTACCACACAGTAGCTTTTCTCGCAAGAGCAGCAGCTGACAGGAAATGGTTGGATGTGACTCAGTCGCCCGTTCTCCAGAGCACCCTGTAATTTCTCCAGCACCTCCCTGCTTCCCACCTGCTCTTGCTTGGCACTGGAAACTGTGTTTTCTTTTGAAAAGTACCACTTTCTCATGGGCTGCAAGCCCTGCCTGCTGCTGTTTCCCCACCCCCGGCTCTTACCCGTCCTCTTCCAAGGACTCCTGCTTTGACAGCCTTCCCTGGAACCCTGTCCCTCCCTTCCCGGTGACGAGGGCTTTGGGTTCAAGGCCACCATCCTTGGCTGCTCCAGCATTCCCTTGAGGCTGCTTCTAAGGACATTGCTGGGCTTTATTGTGATTCGTTAATGTGTTTTTTTGTGAATTTTGATTCCTTAATGAACCTAAACCTTCTGATACTGTTTTTTGGTTTTTTGTTTGTTTTCTGATATTGTTTTACAACCCAATGTCAAGGTATCAGAAAGATCACAGTGTGCTTGCTTGTGTCTTACCTCCTGAAGACTTTTCAAACTTAGCTTATCAAGCTGCGGCCTATGGCGTACACCTGTAATCAGGAGGCAACTGAGCAAAACCCTGTCTGAAAAAACCCAACAAGTAAATAAATAAACTAAATTTCTCAGGATGTTAGAAACATCTGACGCTCCTGGAAGCTTGGGTCGAGTTTCGGGGCTTACCCCCGCTGCGCGCAGGGCACAGTGTGCCGGCCCAGTCTCCCTGTTGTGTGCTCAACTCGCGTGAGAAATCGCACTCACCCGCCGTTTCTCGTGGCCGCCTCTGACTTAGGGTCCCGCCCTCTCGGGCTGTGGATGTCGTCATGGTACATGTGTGTGTTGATCCAGACAGAGGAGGCAGGCGGTCTTGAAAAGGGGCCTTTGCACATCAAGATTTAATTACCAGAAGACAGGTTCCACGTGCACATCCTGCACAGGAGGAAGCCATTTGTGTCCTTTCCCACCCAGGTTATTCATTATTTTTTTTCTGTTTTTGAGGCAGGGTCTCGCCATGCAGTTCAGGCTGGCCTTGAGCTCATACGTAGCACTGTGGCAGCTCCTCTGCCGCAGCCTCCTGCGCGCACCCTGCTCGTGCTACGTTTTTGAACTTCCTTTTTTTTTTTCATTGTTTCATGTATTTTTTTTTTTTTTTTTTGTGGAACAGGAGGGGAGAATGTATAGTCTATACATTTAGACAGTACAAAGATTACCTCTGGGCTGTCGCCATTTATTCAGTAAGCACCAAGCCTACTGCTCTGGCACTAAGAGCTGTAGTGGTCCAGTTAGAAGGTAGACGCTTCCTCATTGCCTGGCAAGACCCGAGAGCATCTTAGTGACGCCACCTTCAGGCTTCTGGAAGAAGCATGGCTGCTGCAGACCCGAGTCCGGGGACAGAACTTCTCACATCCCTGCTCTGTTGTCCCGCAGAGGGCGACCAGTACCCAGGCTCAGGAGAGGGCATGTTCCGGAGACCGTCGGAAGGACAATCCCTCATCAGCTACCTCTCGGAGCAGGACTTCGGCAGCTGTGCGGATCTGGAAAAGGTGAGGAAGATTGTTTGCTGAGGCCTGGCCTACAGGTCTGCGGTGCCAGCTGTTCTCGTGAGGTTTTGGGGACACAGCAGTGACATGGATGTAGAAGGCAGTAAAGATGAGCTCAGCAAGTCCTGTTTGGGGGAAACTCTAGGGAACATGTGCTCTTCACTGGGTCCAAATTATTAGCCATTGAACTGGGCATGGTGGCAGATCCCTGTAATCCTAGCCCCTCAATAGGCTCAGGCAAGAGAATCACAAGTTTGGTCCATTTAATGAAGCCCTAACTTAAGGTAAAATTTTTTTAAGAAAAGGGAAAAGAGAATATCGGTTCAGTGTTAGAGTGCTTCCCTAACACTCTGGGAGGCTGAGGCAAGGGGATCTCCGTGTGTTCCAGGCCAGCGTGGACTACATAAGTGAGTTCAAGGCCAGCCTGCACTACTATATAGTGAGTCCCTGTCTTCAAAAAACCAAAAAACAAAACAAAACAAAAAACCACCACCAACAAAAAACACCACATGTAATAGCGCACACCTGTAATCCCAGCACTCAGGAGGCTGAGGCAGGAGGATCGTTGCGAGTTTGAGGCCAGCCTGGGCTACAAAGTGAGTTCAAGATCAGCCTGAACTGCATAGCGAGATCCTGTCTCAAAAAGATAAAAAACAAAACAAAATAAAAAAAACACCACAAAAATATTAGTGATTTTATGTTAGAAGCTACCCTGGTCAGAGAAACATTGAATTTTAGCTGCATAATTATTCTTCCTTTGATTTTAGAACCTTACTGTTCCAAAATGTTTTTTTTTTTTTTTTTTTTTTTTGTGTGTGTGTTTTTGAAACAGGGTCTCACTATGCAGTTCAGGCTGGCCTTGAGCTCACTTTGTAGCCCAGGGTCATGAACTCACAATGACTTTCTTGCCTCAGACTCCCGAGTGCGGGGATTATAGGAATGGGCCACCACACCCAGCTCAACCTGTATATTTTATTCTAACTAAGGCTCATACATGTAATAATATCTGCAGCATTTTATGGCTTACAAAACCCTCTGCTTTGAGACATTACATTTACCTTTGTGCACAGGTGCGTAACTTTGGAAAAGAACCTGATTGAAATTCCTGTGACATTGTACTTTTCTTTATTAGACGAAGACCTTTCTTTTCTTTTTTTTTATGTTTATTTTTATTAATCTTTGTTTCACACTTCATTCCCAAGCTTCTATAAGCTTAATGAGCTGCAAAGAGGAAATTATGTATACATAAAAACTGAGAAGAGGAGCCAGGGCTGGCGGCACGAGAATGTAATCCCAGCACTCAGGAGGCAGAGGCAGGAGAATCCCTATAAGTATGAGGCCAGCCCAGGGTACATGGGGAGTTCCAGGCCAGCCAGAACTAAATAATAAGGCCCTGTCTCCAAAACAAACAAACAAATAAACAAAAAAACCAAACAAATACTGCAAAGAGCTGCAGTGTCCAAGGGTCATGGATTTAAAAAATATTAGGGATCTAGATATTATCAGGTCCGTAAACAAAATAATTTTTAGTCATAAGACCCAAAAAGCAGTTCCCAATAACTTCAAGGTTTATCATCTTTTTTTTTTTTTTTTTGAGACAGGGTCTCGCTATGTAGTTCAGGCTGGCTTTTAACACACTATGTAGCCCAGTCTGGGCTTCTAACTCCAGGCGACTTTGGTGCCCCTCTCCCCAGGAGAACGCCCACTTCAGCATCTCCGAGTCCTTGATTGCCGCCATCGAGCTGATGAAGTGCAACATGATGAACCAGTGCTTGGAGGAGGAGGTGGAGGAGGAGGACAGCGATCGAGAGATCCAGGAGTTGAAGCAGAAAATCCGCCTCCGGCGCCAGCAGATCCGCACCAAGAACCTGCGCTCGGAGTACCAGGAGACAGAGCACGGGAGTGAGTGAGACTGGGGCTTGTTTGTACTGCTCCTCATAGTTTTGGGGTTTTTGAGACAGGGTCTTGTTATTTAGTTCAGGCTGGCCTGGAACTCAGTATGTAGCTCAGGCTGGCCTCAAACTCACCGTAATCTTCCTGCCTCAGCCTCCCAAGTGCTGTGATCACAGGTGTGTGCCACTACGCCTGGCTTCTGGTCTCTCTTTAGAATGTTATTACCCAAGCCAAGGGTTCCTTTGCTCTCAGGAAGATACTACTATGCTGTTCTTTTTTTAATCAGACTAAGAATTGTCACCCTAGAGTTCATCATTACATTTCTTACATTAGAAATAGCTTCCCCGGAAGTAGGCTTCTGAGATGAAAAGAGCTATGACTACTTCCAGATTCGCTTCCTAAGTAGTAGGACCTTGTATTATAAAAAATTTTTTAAGGAATCTGGCAGTGGTGGTGCATGCCTGTAATCCCAGCACTTGGGAGGCTGAGGCAGGAGAGTCATTGAGAGTTCAAGGCCATGGGGGCTGGGGATTTAGCTCAGTGGCAAAAGCGCCTGCCTGGCAAGCGCAAGGTCGTGAGTTCGGTTCCCGGTACCGGAGAAAAACCAAAAAAAAAAAAAGAGAGTTCAAGGCCAGTCTGGGCTACATAGTAAGTTCCAGGCCAGCCTGAACTGCATAGCAAGACCCTGTTGCAAAACAGAACAAAATAAAACAAAACAAAACAAAGCCTTTCTAGGGGTAAGTGACGTGGGAAGGAGCAGACCTTTTTGTCCTATTTATTGTTACTATCTTTTAATATAACAGGCTTTCGGGTCACCTCCAGCAGCTCCCAGTTCAGCTCTCGGGACTCAGCCCAATTCTCCGACTCTGGCTCCCCTGATGAGGTTGATGAATTTGAAATCCAAGGTAAGAAGTGACCTTTTGTTCCAAAGAAGCTTTCATTTCTCGTTTCTTTCCATTTGGAATCATAGGCTGAGGGACTCCAGAGTAGACGATCTTCACTCTTGTCCATTAGGAAGTGTTGGTTACTATAAAGGACAACTTCTCTTGCTAACGCCAAAATCCCTTTAAAATTCAAGTTCAGGGCTAGCCTGGGCTACATAACAAGACCTGATCTCAAAAAACAGAACAAATAAGTAAGGTAAGTCAAACCTGAGCAGAAGAGAACCCCGAGGGGAAGTGCTCGGGTGGGGTGGGCTCGCTGTTCAAGTCTCCCTGTGCTCCTTCCGCGTTTGCCTCTGGGATTCTCGCTCAGATTCCTCCTGCCTCGTGGGGCCAACTCACGCCACAAAAGGAACTATTTCAAAGTATTCAGAAGGATCTTCATTGTAATCCTAAGAGAAAAGGACAAGAAGAATCACTGAGGGAAAAGCCAAAAAGAAAACAAAAAATCTAGCTCACAAAGCAGGGCTTCAGTGTCTGTCACAGCCGTGTGAACTTGCTCCGTGGAATCCCTGACTCCTGTGGGAAGGATCAGCATGGGGAGAGGAGGGGCCCATCCCGGAAGGCAGTCGTTCTCATTCAGGTTACCATTCTGTTCCTGTGAGTCATCGATTTCTTTAATTTTCCATCGGTGAGTCGAACAACAACCAGAGCGCTTCCCGGGGTGATTTCCTTCCCGAGCTGAACCGCGTCTGCAGTGCTCCTGTGTGACACCGTAATGCGATGAGGAAGGGCTCTCTGAGTGCGTGGTAGGGAACCCTCACTGCAAGACCTCAGTTCACATTTGACACATCCTTTCCAGGTCTCTGGGAAGTCTGTCTGCCATGTTCTCCTTCGTGTACCTGATTTCTAAGCATGATAAGGTGGTCACTTAAAAGTCCATGTTTTCTTCCTGTGTGGCTTTCCAGGAATACTTCTGAATCCTCTAATACCACGTAGGTGAACTCTAGTCAGTTCTGGCCCTGACAGCCTAGGATGAGCGCCAGTCCACGAGCGCAGAGCCCAGTTTCCCTGCGTCACTCCTGTGTCTGGTGCCAGTGCCGTCCCTGCACTTCGTGCTGCTGACTACAAATCCAGGAGTTCCCTGGAGCCCTTCCAGTCTGAGACTTCTCTGGAGTGGCTGTCAGGATTTAGGAAAGGGCAGTATTTAAGATTACAGTTTAAAGCGGGCATAGTGGTGCATGCCTATAATCCCACCACTTAGGAGGCTGAGACAGGAGGATCACAGCAAATTTGGTATAGCCAGCCTGGGCTACATCATGAGACACTGTCTCAAACAAACAAACAAACAAAATATATATATATATACGTGTGTGTGTGTGTATATATATATATATATATATGTATATATGTGTGTGTATATATATATATACGTATATATATAGTTTATTATAAAGCATACAAATAAATAGCTATGTGGAGAAGAACGTAGGTAGGGCAGGGTCCTGCAGAGTCTCCCGCCTCGGGACCTGTGTGTCTCCTTGCAGTCTGGGGCTGCCACCTCCTAGTACACCTATATGGTTGTCTACCAGGATGCTCCCCAGACCTGGGTGCTCCATTTTTTCATTGCTATTCAGGGGCCTGCGGAGTCATTGCATTAGCACACCCTCAGGGATGGTCAGAAGGGCCTCCTTGTGAATAAAAAGATATTGCTACCACTTAGAAAAATCCAAGGGTTTGGGGCACACTGCAGAGGAATTGGGAACGAAGACTATATATATATATATATATATATATATATATACACACACACGCACACATACCACAGCCTGTGATTGACATGATCACCAGGTTAGAGGGAAATCAGAGGGTTCTACCCTCCCCTTCAGGATGAGCAGCAGAATTCCCTGAGGGTCCAGTTAAGGCAGATGTGGAATGGAAGGCTGGACAGGGTATGGCAACGTCCCTCAGCTCTTCAGTGTGTCCCTGAAGCAAAGCAGGGGCCAGGGCCAGGGCCAGCTTCAGTCTGGAGGGAGCCCACGTAGAGGGAGACATAGGTACTCCCTCCTGGGGGAAACCTGCTGCAGCCCTGGGCCCCAGGGAGACATTGAATCAGCGAATTTCCTAGTCAGTTCTGAGCAGAAACCCTGAATGGAGAGACCTGAGGCACGTTCCGGCCCTCCGGGCTGGGTAATCCTTCAGTGGAGGGGCCGTAGCGTTTCATGGGGTGGTTGCACCATCTCTGGCTCTACCCACTGGATGTCAGTAGGAACCCTCCCTACTCAGCAGTCTGAAGTGCCTCTGAGGCCAGGAATATAGTTCAGCAGCACAGCGCCTGCCTGGCAAGCGTGAAGTCCTGAGTTCAATTCGTTTCATTTTTAGGAGCAGGGTCCCAGCCCCAGAAACGTGCAGAATATCAGTCTCATCACTTTACTGCCCATCAGAAGGTGAAAGGGCCCCTTCTAATAACCACTGTCACACAGATGTAGCAAAGGTTCTAACCTGACTCTCACGCAAGAAATGGACTCTCATAAAGAATGGACTCTCAGGGTCACTGGCCTACTGTTCTCAGATAGCTGTGCTGGAGCGTAGATGTGCTTGTGTATGCACAGGTGTGAGTGTGTGTGCCTCGTCTGTACACACTTGAAACCTGTGTTACCTGTCGAGGTGAGTAGGAGTGTGTGGCTGGAGGAATAGTTTGAAAAAAACCAGACTTCCACCAGAACAGGGTGCCAGAGATAATCAGTGTTTTTCTTTTCTTTTTTTTCTTTTTGGTTTTTCTTGAGACAGGGTCTCGCTATGCAGTTCAGGCTGGCCTTGAGCTCACTTTGTAGCCCAGGCTGGCCTTGAACTCACAACCATCCTCCTGCCTTAGCCTCCTGAGTGCTGGGATTACAGGCGTGCGCCACCACGCCTGGCTCTAATCAGTGTTTTTCCTCATTGGGCGCCAGTAACCCTCCTCACTGAGTGTGCCCTTGACCTGCCACACTGCCCACACTGGTATTGTAGATCAGAAGCCCTGTGACTGGTGGAGGCGGCAGCCAGTTTAGAAGGGAACAGAGAATTGCAGTTTGAAGCTGTCGCTAAGCTACTGCCACACATTTAGACAGCAAAAGCCGGACAGAATATTAGGAAGCTTCGAGTTTCTTTCAAGTTTTGAATTTGCAGAGCTGACTCTCAGAAAGGTATCTCTTCTAGAACTTTCAGAAAGCTTCTCTTCCGTATGCAATTAGGAATTCCTGCTATAAAGGTTTGGACTGAGTAATCACTTTGTGGTTCAAATGAGGCTTTCTATAGCATATTAACTGAAAGAAAGTAATAGTTTTCTATTAAAATGCAGACACAAAAAATTCAGAACTGTTTCAAAATAAAATTAAAAGGGCTGAGAATGTGTCTCAGTGGTAGAGATTTTACATAGCATGCTTGAGGCCCTCTGTTCCATCTTCAGTACCAGAAAAACCAGAATAGATTTAAGCTGAGTGTGGTGGCACATGCCTGTGATTCCAGTGCTTAGGAGGCTGATGCAGGAGGTTTACCTTTAATCTGAGGCCAGCCTGGGCTACTTAGTGAGTTCAGGGCCAACCTGAAGTACATAATAAGTTCCTATCTCAAAAAAAAAGTTGTCAGTGAGGCATAATTTATATAACAAAATTTACCTGCTTCAAATGTACAAGTCAGTGATTTTTAATAAATTTGCCAAGTTATGCAACCATCATTATAATGTAGTTTCTGAACATTTTCATCATCCCAAGAGCTCCTCACTGTAAATTACTGCCTCTTACAGCAAATACCTGTTTCGATCCCAGGTGCAGGCAGCCACTCATCCGCTTGTGTCTGTGGATTTATCCTTTTTGGACATTTCATATAAATGGAGTCATACAGTGTGTGATACGTTACCTATGTGCCTGGCTTGCTGCACTTTATGTATTTCTGCTGCTGACGTCTGCCCGGTTGGACTGATCCCTTTTCTAAAATCCCAACCCCGATAGTCTTTTCACCTTCTTTGGTTTTAGGGTTTGTTGCTCTTATTTTTTCTCCCCACGTCGTCCTCTTCTATCACAGCTTCATAAATTCTACTTTATTTCCTCTGCAGACTCTTCTAGCATTTACATCCTGCATGTATGAATGTGTCAGGGCCTGGTCAGGAGACAGGGGTCACAGGAATCCAGTAGGGAAAGCTTAACGCTGAGAACTGTTAATATAGTGGGGTCTGAAGTGATGGAGTGAAGAGAGCCCTGCAGGGTGCAGGAAGGGCAGCGGAGCGGGCATCAGGGAAGGGCATGGGTGTGCAAGGGCCGCGCCCCAGCCTGAGAGCAGGGGGAGAGCCCGGGATTTCAGGCATGCGCCACCATGCCTGGCAACCCTGATCTGGTTTTACCCTCAACCTCAACTAGTGTCCACTCAGATCAGCCTGGTCCTCTGAGCAGAGGTGTCAGGATGCAGCACTGCCCCAGGAGGGCTTGAGGCACCTGACCAGGACAGGCGCTCTGGCCGTTTCGGTAGCAGGTGCTGCTGGGGTGAGGCTCTTACTCCTCAGTGCGGTTCTCCACAGTCTTGGAGTATTCCTGATTAGCTAAGAAATCCTGCCGCTTGGTTCCTCTGGTAAGGAAGAGGAAGGAACATGGTAATATCTGACTTGATTATATGCTCCAAAGAGAAGAGAATGATCTGTTTCTCAGAGGAAAAAAAAAGGACTTCTGCAGCGCCTGCCTGGCAAGCACGAGGTCGTGAGTTCGGTTCCCGGTACCGGGGAAAAAAAACCAAAAAAAAAAAAAAGAAAAAAGAAAAACAAGGGGCTGGGGATTTAGCTCAGCAGCACAGCACCTGCCTGGCAAGCGTGAAGTCATGAGTTCAATTCCCGGTACTGGAAAAACAAAAACAAAAACAAAAAAAAGACTTGCGATGAAGAATGGCTAAATATCATCACTCTTTGACTAAATACAGGGATGCCTTCCAAGTAACATGTCCGGTGATTTTGTGCAAACATCATACTCCTACTGAGATGGCTCCCATGGTCCTGGACAGTATCATTAGATGGGGCCACTGATGCATACAGAAACGTTATTGTGCGGCACATGATTGTAATGTTTACAGAGACTGTGGTTTCCTTGGCAACCATGACTTCCCAACCCCTCCCCTTTGTGGTACATAGTGTCTTTAATAGACTGGTTCTAAAGTACCAAAACTAGGGGCTGGGGATTTAGCTCAGCGGCACAGTGCCTGCCTGGCAAGCACAAGGTCATGAGTTTGATTCCCGGTACCGGAAAAAAAACAAAAACCAAACAAACAAAAAATAAAGTACCAAAACTGGTTAGCTACTTATTCAAGATTATATAGGACTTCCTTTCCTTTTTCCTTCTTGAGTACTCCCAAATAAGGTAAAATATGCAAAAGCTTTTAATTGCTTTTAGTCAATTAATAATTTATTTATGAAATATTTTCTGAAAATCTATTTTGTAAAAACTACTTTGAGCCCAGAGTGGTGGTGCATGCCAGTAATCCCAGCACTTGGGGGAGGCTGAGGCAGGAGCATCTCCATGAGTTCAAGGCCATTCTGGCCTACATAGTGAGTTCAAGGCCAGCCTGAACTGCATAGCAAGACCTTGTCTCATATATATATATATATATATATATATATAGATATATAAATATTTTTTAAAAACACTTTGAGTGTTACTGGGACAAGGCGAGGCTTCTGTACAGTCCAAGGCACTGGAGTGTGACCTGCATGAATGCTGCAGACTGAAAGGTCTGTGAGTGGCTGTCATCTAGACGTTCTCCTTCTTCCTCCTGTGGTGGTACTAAGTACAGTGAGACAAGACAACTAGCAGTGCACTGGGAGCTGGATTTTCTTGGCACAGGTCCAGATAGGAAATACGATACAGATGAAGCTCTTTGTTGTTCAGTAAAATAGGCTTTTTTGGTTACCAACAAAATTTGGTGAATGAAACTTAGTGAGCAAATCTCAATTCTGTTAATCTGCTGTGTGTACAGCAGTCATTAGTCTGTCAGCAATATTATTTGAGTATATGTTTATATACAGAACTATGTGTAAAGTATTTTAACTTAATTTAATCTAATTTTGGGTACTGGGAATTGAACTCAGGACCTCATGCTTGCCAGGCAGGCGCTATGCCACTGAGCTATATCCCAACCAAGAAAAATTTCAAGACCAGGAAAAATTAGACGCACTCTTTATCTCATAAGGAGGTTTTACAGTCTAGCTGTATAGAAGGAAAATCCACATACAGTGGAAACGTGTGACGAATTGAGCTACTTGTGGCCAAGGGCAGAGGGATATGGGCTTGTTGCTCATGTGAGGGACTCACTCAGCGGGTGCACGGGCAGATGGGTGTAACGAAGGGGAAAGGTCTTTCTACCTGATACCAGAGGAGGTGAGAGATGGACTCATCAAAATCGTCTTTCATCGTTCAGTTAGGTTCTGTCTGCCCTTCTCGAACATAACTTGTATTTCACTCCGCCCTCATTTGGGTAATGAGGTCTCTGGCCATTCTGCACAGACTCCTTTACTGGAAATAGGCTTTGGAATGTCGGCCAGCGTCTCCTATAATTATGCGTGAGAGTCCTGCAGTAGAGACCAGGTCGACAGTTGCTGTGCCGATTTGATCAGTTCGCAGGCCTGGCCCTGGACTCACCAAGCCATGGAGTTCTTTTCCTTCCTGTGCCACTAGACAGAGATGAAGCTTTTTTAAAGATACAGAAAACTTCTAACACTCAATGAAAATGGCACCACTCAAGAGATGTCAGAAGCAAACTTCCCACTGCACATACATGTAATAAATAATAGGTAACCTCTGTGATCCAAATTTCATGTTGAGTGCTAAGAAAAACCAGGGCTGGGGAGTGTGCAAGAGGTCCTAGGGGTTCGCCAAGTGTGGCGGCACGCATCTGTGATCCCAGTGTTCAGGAGGCTGAGGCATGGAGGTTGCCACGAGTTTGAGGCCAGCCTGGGCTACATAGTGAGTTTAAGGCCAGCCTGAACTACACAGAGAGACCCTGTCTCAAACAAAGAACAACAAAACCAAAAACCCCTGAGTTCAGGCCCCAGCACTGACAGGAAAAAGAAGCCAGACAGAGTTCCGGCCTCTGACCATTTAAGGTTGAAATTAGAGACCAAAGGAGGGATTTGAGTCATTCTTCCGTGTTTCTGCTTGCTAGGGCTTGGGGCCCTGTGTGCCTGAGGATGCCTACTTTTCTCATTCACTATTTTGCATCCACTCTCGAGTTTGACTTCCCACCTGGACTTGTGCCCTTTTTGGCCTTCCCATCGCTGTGCCCTGTCACTGAATCAGCCCGCTTGTGACTCGAGTAAAGCCAAATTAAAAGTTCCGTGTAGAGCTTCTCCTGCCCCGAGCGCCCCCCCCAGGAGCGGGGAGCTGCCACCTTGCGCCTCCGCCTGCCTGTTGATGCTTTTGCTATCCTCTCCCTCCTCACTCTCCCCTTCCTGCTGCCCTTGTCTCTGGTTCCCGTGCAGATGCCGACATCCCACGGAGCTCGGCCTTGAGCGGCAAGCACTTCATTTCCTCCCAGTCCTTGTGAGTAGTTCTTCTGGTTTTTTTAGTTACCTCTGGGTAGGTGGAGAAACAAACTCGGTTCTTGGCATATGGGTGAGAAGAGCCACAGGTCAGGCCGTTGTGATTCAAGAAGGGGCAAGGGCGGGTGAAAGAATGAAGGGGTGGGCTGTCGGGGGCACCAGACTCCCAGCAAGTGTTATCTTCCCTCTGCTACTGCCCTCATAGTCCCGGAAGGTCAAGGCTCACGGGAGAGAGTGATGATTGTGAGTGTGGTCATCAGATAGGACTGAGCACGTGCTCCGGTGCAGACCAGCCAGGGGGAACACCAGCCCGTTTGGGAAGGATGGAGGCCCTTTAGCACCCTCAGAGCAGCTTTGCTCACTTTACTTTGGAAAAGTCCAGAGAAAGGAAGTTATGGAGCCCCTTGCGCAGTGCTAGTGAGATTTCAGCCAGAGCTGTAGGACGTAAAGACCAATGCTTGCCCACTCCGCACGCGTCTGAGATGAGGGAGGAGCGGGCAGCTCCCGAGGGTGGCCCGGGTCCTGAGGGAGGCCCGGGTCCTCCTGTGCTCAGCGTCCCCGGCCTCTCCCCTTCCCAGCTCCCACAGCGCCCTGCACTCCACGTCGGCTGAGGCGGTGGCCATGGGGCTTCTGAAGCAGTTTGAAGGCATGCAGCTTCCGGCGGCCTCGGAGCTGGAGTGGCTGGTCCCAGAGCACGACGCCCCTCAGAAGGTAGGCGAGGAGCCGGGCTGTTCTTCATGCTCTGTTTCCCTTCTTGTCCGCTTATTACACATGTGTTGAGTGGATGAATGCCTACCTAGGTTTTCCTAGCAATCATCAAAACAGGATGTTATGGAGTCTTCCCTGCCCTCACGCCACATGACTGCTCGTAGAGCTCGAGCTGGAGCTCCCGTTTTCCGGCCCACTTCTGAGACACTGCAGAAGTCTTGAGGGCATGAGACCCCTTGCCACACCCGGTTCCTGGGATGAGAGCCACCACCCAGGACGCAGCTGCTGTTCACCTGGGGTCGAGGGCCCTCACTGTTAGTACCTGGCGCCTTCTAGCGGGTTTGAGCCAGCGTTCCTGAAGTCCTTGGCCTGCAGCGTGCCTGAAGTGTCTTTCATTAGCTCTGCTTCCACTGTGGCCATCCAGGCCGAGCCCACCCTCACCCGCGCCCCGCGTTCTCTCCCGCAGCTCCTGCCCATCCCCGACTCCCTGCCCATCTCGCCAGACGACGGGCAGCACGCGGACATCTACAAGCTGCGGATCCGCGTGCGCGGCAACCTGGAGTGGGCCCCACCCCGGCCTCAGATCATTTTTAATGTTCATCCAGCCCCAACGTGAGTACCCGCGGCGCTCTTCGGGAAACAGGAGCATCTCTGCGTGGTCAGGACCGGCACCGCCCCTCCTGTCTGCTCCCACCTGTTTTCCCGCACTACCCTTCACCTTCCTGATCCTCCCCGGTGTAACTGGTCATTGCACTTCTCGCTGGCATTCCCAGCCTGTTGCCCCTCTCCCGCCAGTGTGTGAGCCTGCCGTTTTTTCTTTCCTTGTAAGATGGTTGGATGCGTTTTTTTTTTTTTTCCCCATTGCTCCTTTGCCTTTGTACACTACAGGAAATGTGGCTCATTGTTGCGGGGAGCCACCGCCAAGACCCAACCCCTAACCTTCCAGCCCTCGGCTCTGTCCAAAGGTTCGGGTGAATTCTCTCTTCCTGCGTCATCCTCTCCTCCTTTGTACCTGGAGGCCCCTGCCAACTCCCCTCCTTCGCCTTTCCCTAGGAGGAAGATCGCTGTGGCCAAGCAGAATTACCGCTGCGCGGGATGTGGCATCCGGACTGACCCTGGTGAGCCGCCCTGGCTCCGTGCTGCCCAGGGCTGTGCCTGCCCCCCACCGGGGAAGAGGGGCCTGCCAGGGTAGTAGGAAGAGGAGAAGGAAAGGGGGATGATGGGGAGGAGGACTAGGCGGAGTGATGGCCCTCGCAGGGGAGCTGTGGCTGGAGAAAGGGCAGTTGTGAACAGCTGGGGACAGTAGGCTGCCAACTCTGGCAGCCTTGTTTCCTCTGCGGTCTCCAGGACGTAGGATCCACAGGCTCCATTGTGTGGGTTTCTGTCGGCTTCAGGGAGCTTAGACAGAAGGTGGTTGTAGGTCACAGACCGTCCCCATCCGCCCTTCAAGGGGCAGTAGAACCGCCTCACACAGGTCCACACGGGCAAGTCACATTGGCCCCGGTTCTTTCAGATTACATCAAGCGGCTGCGGTACTGTGAGTACCTAGGCAAGTACTTCTGTCAGTGCTGCCACGAGAACGCCCAGACGGTCATTCCCAGCCGGGTGCTGCGCAAGTGGGACTTCAGCAAGTACTACGTCAGCAATTTCTCCAAGGACCTGCTCCTCAAGATCTGGAACGACCCCCTCTTCAACGTGCAGGACGTCAACAGCGCCCTCTACAGGAAGGTCAAGCTGCTCAACCAAGTGCGGGTAAGGCCAGGACGCGGCCGCCCCGCCCCTGTGGTCAGCTCACCAGAGTCCTCGCCAGGGTCGAGCCATCGTCCTGCGCTGTTCACGTAGCTTCTTACTCTCCTTTCTTTCTGTGGTGCTAGGAGTGGAGCCACACACGCTGGGCAAGCCCTCCACCGCCGAGCTGTGCCCCTCTGTGTGCTCTCCGACATCTTCCCCTTTCCTAGACATCTGCCTTGTCACGGCCCCAAACGCACAACAGCAGGTCTGAAGCTACAGATCGCATTTGATGACAAAAGCAGAATTTCCCCCTTCAGCGAACGTGGTGCTGAGTAGAGAACGGGTGGGGAACATCGCTGACTGGTCTTTCTAACACACGGTTCCCTCTCTCCACCCTCCCCACAATGTCCCCTCTCCAGCTGCTGCGGGTGCAGCTGTACCACATGAAGAACATGTTCAAGACATGCCGGCTGGCCAAGGAGTAAGTGCGTGGGAGGGCAGAGTCCCTGGCTGCGGCACGTCCCCCATAGGTCGGGTCTCGGCAGGCAGCTCCAGTGTTGAAAGGAGATTAGGAGAGTTTCACAGAAATGTCCAGAGATGGTAAACGAGAAGCCATGGCAGTAACTCTTGCTGCCCTCTGTGGAGGAGACGTCTATACTTTTTTTTTTTTTTTTTGTCTTTTTGAGACAGGGTCTCGCTGTGTAGTTCAGGCTGGCCTTGAGCTCACTTTGTAGCCCAGGGTGATCTTGAGCTTGCAACGATCCTCCTGCCTCAGCCTCCTGAGTGCTGAGATTACAGGTGTGCGCCACCACGCCTGGCAACATCTATGCTTATTCTGTGCAGGGCAGGCTACCACTCTGTGTAAACCGGTGTTGGTTACTCTGCACAGGATTATAAATGAAGTCACTTCTGTCATCCAGATGCCTATTGGTGTGGGAAGGCTGGGGTGGCCAGAACACTTGGGCCAGTAAATGTCCCTACCCTCGTAGCTTTTCTCACTTGTGGCTGAATAAGGCTTTTTCTACTGCAGTGTGCTGTACACAACGTTCATTCCCTTCCCTGCCTGCTGCTCCTCACCTGCAGGCTTCTGGACTCTTTTGACACAGTCCCAGGCCACCTGACAGAGGACCTCCACCTGTACTCTCTGAATGACCTGACCGCCACCAAGAAGGGGGAGCTGGGGCCGCGGCTCGCCGAGCTCACCCAGGCAGGGGCTGCCCATGTGGAGCGCTGCATGGTAAGGCCCTGCTGTGATGCAAGAGCTGCCTTTGCTGAGGGCTGGAGGCGGGGCGGACCCGGGTCCTTGCTGTTCTGCTCAGGATGCTGAAAGGGCCGGCCAGCACTGCCCGTGAAACCGGAAAGGCTCGCTGTCCCAAGGCAGTGAGCAGCTCAGTCGTCGGCTCTAAAGACTTAGAGGAGGAGTTGGAGCCGGCATCGCCCCACTGAAGAACTGTCCTGTGGGGGAAGGGAGCCCCAGATTAGAGTCTTGGCTTTATTTCCAGTCACTGTGACCGAAAGAAATAATTTGCTCTGGGTTAAGCCTCAATTTTCTTGTCTCCGAAATGAAAATACTGTCCACACTACCCTTTCCTCTCAGTATTTTTGAACACTGATGTCATAACTTCTGTGACAGCCTTTTGTAAACTTTTAAGTATTCTACAAATACAGGTATTACCATTTGTGGTATAGTAAACATGCCAGAAATTCAGAAACTCCATTTTATTTTTATTTTTTATGTAGTTCAGGCTGACCTTGACATCCTTATGTAGCCTAGGCTGCCCTCAAACTTGGGACAGTCCTCCTGCCTCAGCCTCCAGAGTGCAGACATTCTGTCTTAGTGTCTCCCCTCAGCCTCTGTGCACTCCGTGCTCCCATGGCAGACAGTCCCAGAACTGAAGCTCTAGAGGGGCCACAGCAGAGCCGTGTGTTGGACCTACTTCTCTCCAGCCTCACTCCAGGCTGGTATTTTGAGGAAACAGCCTTGTTTTGCATTTGTCTTTATTAGCAGTGATGTGTGTACCAAACTAAAACCATCGTCCAGACTGGCACAGCGAGTCAGAAGCTCTGGGGCAACTCCTTCCTGCTTTCCCTCGCTGGGAGCTGCTCTGCGCAGGGGCAGGGGCTTCCCAAGCCGTGCCTCTCGCCTCCCCACGGAAAGCCTGTCTGGTGCTGCCCAGCCCTGGGCCTCACCTGGCCCACGCCGAGTCCAGCCCAGCCTCGGCCCTGGAGGGTTTCTTTACATTGCCCGTCTGCTCCCCGGCGTCCCGTCTCGGGGCCGGTCCCTCACTGGCCACCCGTCTGCTTCCTCCCAGCTCTGCCAAGCCAAGGGCTTCATCTGTGAGTTCTGTCAGAAGGAGGAGGACGTCATCTTCCCTTTCGAGCTGCAGAAGTGCCGGATCTGTGAAGGTGGGTGCGGGCTCACGGATCAGGGCAGGTCGGGGCAAGCAGGACTAAACGTAAGGGAGCTCATTTCCCCCGAGCCACCCGTTCGCCACAGTTTCGCTCCCGGTGTCCCAGCACCAGGGCGCTGGCTGCGGCGATGAGAAGGGGCCGTCACAGCTGAGGGGACATAAGTTTCCTTCCCTCTTGCCTCTCCCCCTGAACAGAGTGTAAGGCGTGCTACCATAAGGCCTGCTTCAAGTCAGGACGCTGCCCCCGGTGCGAGCGGCTGCAGGCCCGGCGGGAGCTGCTGGCCAGGCACAGCCTGGAATCCTACATGTCCGACTACGAGGAGGAACCCGCGGAGGCCTTGAGCCTTGGAGCCACCGTTCCGGAGGGCACCTGAGGGAAGCACGCTGAGCCCTCCGTCTCAGGGCCGGGTCACACAAAATGCAGAACTGAGCCACCCTTTGAAGGACTTTGCCCTTGGGGCTTTTTTTTTCTAAATTATTATTTTTTTAATGCCTTGTCTGACGTCCACATGTAGCTGACCTCTGTTCGGTTGATGGGTCCAGTCCGTCGTGATGACTGACTAGTAGGCACCAGTACCTTCCATGGGGACTGACACGCGGGTCTGAGTGAAGCTTCTAGTGCCGCTGGCAGGGAGTGGACGCGAGAGCCAGTTCCGTCCCCATGGTCTCCACAGGACCAGCCCTGGCTGCCGTGCATCGCCAGTATCACCTCCACTTGTTTCTAGTTTTAGAGCCTCTGAGCCCGGCCTCTCAGCCAGCTGTCTTCTCCTTTGCTGCTGTCACGGTGGGTGGGATTTTTTCCATCCGGGTCCTGAGATAGGGAGACGCGGGGAGAACGGAACCCCATGGGTGGCTGTCAGGCTTGCACAGGCACTGGAAGGCCATCAGAGCAGTCGCTGCTGCCCTGGAGCGCACGGACCTCCAGGACACAGCCATAAAGTCCCTGCTCAGAGAGTTCGAGGCAAACATGGTGGCTCACGCTGACGCTTCATCTACCCGGCGGGCTTGAAGCAGGCAACACGACTGAGGCGCAGGCCCGGCCCAGGTGTAGCCTGCACCACAGCGTGAGCGAGGCACGGCCGGTGTTGAGGAGCGTTTGTCCAGGTAGAGGAGCCGCTGGCGCCCTCGGGTGTCTGGGTCTCTGGTGACTGAGCCGCTGGGCGCAGGTGCGATCTTTCAAGCTCAGGAGCCCCTGATGCCCTAAGTTAAGCACGGAAACCTTGCTGTGGGCCATCTTAGCGCGGGTCCCTTACTGCATGCTGTTGGGTGGTCACAGTGGTTCTCAGTAAAGACAGCCCAGCTCTGCTCTCTGTCCCTTGTACCACCAAACTGGGACCCTCGCTGGTGGCTGATCTCTTGCCTTAGTTTCTTTTTTTCAGAGTTGGAGAAAACCCTCCCTGCTATTCGTAGTGTTAGAAAACGTGACAGTTTGTGGATGTGACTGTGAATGTCCCTGCATTCTCTGGATAACGTGTCTGTACCCTAATTATGCACTTACCTCTTTGTCCCCCACCCCCGTGACATTCCTACGTCCAGCCATTTTCCTGTGCCTGGTTTTAACATGCTTCCCGCCCCCACGTTAGTGTGTATTTTGATGGGAAGAGCACTTGGCTGGGGCTTGGTATACGTTTGTGGTGTTCTTGAAGTTGCTGTAAGTCCTAACTGCCATGGGAAACGCTGGTCGGGTCGCTTCTCCGAGGCGGGCGCTCGGGGCCCTGACCTGGCAGAGTTCTGGGACTGACACGATGCTTGTCTTCCCATAGTTGGTCACTAGTAGAGAAGCTTTGGCCTGGGCACTGCCCCGGAAGCCGAACGGAAAGTCACACATGGTTGGTGGAAGCTGATTTGTGCCGGAGCCGCGGGGCACAGGGCTCTCTCGAGGAAGTGGAAGGGACAGTAGGGTGACAGCTAAAGTGAAGCTCTGCGAGAGCGCGAGGAACGAGGAGGAGCTGGCCCGGGCGCGGGATCTTCTGCTCTGACTCGGGTCACGAGGCTCTGGGCGGGTTCTGCGCCCAGCTCCCGGCCGGGCGCTCGGAGCCGCGGCCCAGCCCGTCCTGCAGGGGGCTTCGAGACTGACTGCACATGTCACTGGGGCTTGGCCTCTGCTCCGGACTCGGGCGTGTAAACGTGAGCTCTGCTTTAGGGTTGGGCTTAAATTTCAAACCCATCTACTTACCCACGTCACTACACTGGAGGAGCCACAGCTCTCCTGTTCCTGCCACACAGGACCGGGGCCGAACTCCGCCGTCTTCCAGGACCCACGTTACTCCGTTTCCCCGGCTCCCTGCCCATCCCCTTACATGCCGTACGTCTTCACCTGACACTAGCCGTTGTCAGAGGCCAGACAGCCGTGTATTTATTTACTGGAGAGTCAGGAGAGGGGCCCGAGGAAGGGATGCTGGGAAAGCACGTTGAGCCGAGCATACCTGGGAGCCCGGCCGCCGCGGGGCGACTGAGTGCGCTGACGAGTCCCTCCTGCGTGACGCGGAGGGAAGGGGGCTTTTCTGTACATAAAGGGAACACAAGCTTGCTTCCAAGGTGGAGGCAGAGTCGAGACGTTGCAGAAGAGTGGGAGGCAGACACGTCCCCCCACGAGGCTGTTACCGACTTTCTCTGCCGATGTCCCAGCGCTTTTGTTGCCTTAACACAAAGGAGCAAGTCTCAGTGGCAGTGTGGCGGACACGCCACTCGTGTTTGAGCTGGGTTTCCGCTCGCCGCTGATCTCGCACAGCCTAACGGTCCACTGTCATCTCTAATAAACTAAGTGAAAGCTGCCTGTTGAGCCCGTGTCGTGTTAGGGTGTGGCCCCGAGTGTGTCCCTGCGAGAGCGCGTCTGAGGACTCACGTGCGGTGCGACGTCTCCCCGACTGTAAGTGACCCTCTGTCATCTCCAACCAGTGTGTCCAAAACCAGCTTAAAGACAGTGCCAGACCTAACCCTTGGTCACCCCGGTTTGAAAATTTCCTCACCTTCGACAGCCTGTCCGAGTTAGGGGTCGGGTCTGGCCAGTCACGCATTAACTCCTTCCTGCTACACACCGTCAACTTCCGAGAGAAACAACAGAATGTGAGGAAAAATAAGGTTCCAGGAAGGGCAGGGACCAAGGCAGCCGGGATTGGCAGACCCGCTGAGCCCGCCACGGGCTCAGAGTAAGTCCAGCGGTGGGAGGAGGAGGCATTGATTCCCACAGCACCCTGGGAAAGGTGGGCTCAGCAGTGCTTCCTTTTTCCTTTGTGCTTTTGGTGTAGAGTCTGGCGGGGGACAGACGCTGCCCAGCACCTCCTGTGGGCGCTTTGGTCCTGATCAGCTCATCCCCTCCCCACAGCCCCAGGCCACCCGAGTGCTTCTTTCTAAAGTGAGTGATGCGGCTGCCTGAGGCCCACATCCCCGCCCCCCCACCGCCTCCAACCTGATGTTCTTCGGATCAGAGATGAGTGTGATTAGGAAGGAAGGGAAGGCTTGGCCCAGCACTCCTCCAGGAGATGGAGAATGCCGGGGTGCTACGTGCTCCCCTGCAGCATGCCTGGGACCAGCTTCCGGCAGCGGCACAGAGTGCAGAGCTGTGTCTGTCCCGGAGCCGGCAGGGACAGCTGGAGGGTGAAATACACCAGACATGGCAGGGAGCTTCTTAGCGGGTCGGTGGGTTAGGGAGCAGCCTCTCAGAAGATAAGCAGGCACATTCTTCCTGCCTGACGCCCTTCCTCCAGGGGTTTGTAGTAACGTCCTTCTGTGTCACCGCCAGCTGAGTAGGCCTGACTACCTCCCTCCAAAAGAGCCTGAATAGACAGTGGGGTGTGGGGGTGCACACCTGTAATTCCAGCATTCGGAGGCTGAGGCAGGAGGATCGCTGTGAGTTAGTTCTAGGCCAGCCAAGACTACCCAGTGAACTTAAGGCCAGCCTGAACTTAAGGCAAGACCTTGTCTCAATTAAAAAAAAAAAAAAAAAAAAGATGGGAGGGAGCTGAATAGAACATTTGCACAAGTTTGAGATGAAACTGACTGACGCTAGGACCTCTAGTCTGATTGCACAATCTGGCCTGCAGTGTGGCCTGCAGTTTGGGGATCACCATTCCATGTGATAGGTGACGCTCACGCTCCCTGCAGATATTCCCCTCCAGGGAAACATCCTGTTCTTTCCACAAGCCCTCCCAGCCTGGCACCGGGAGCAAGAACGGTCAGAAGTGCATTGCGCAGAAAGAGCAGGAGCTTTCTGACCTCCCTGTACCTACCTCCGCTCTCAGGTCTCTCAGTTGTTCCCGTCACCGAGCCTCCACGGGGTCACTTTCCCACATCTTGGTGAGCGCGTCCTTGCCTCCGCTGCCTCCCCCGGCCGCTGTGGTTACACCCTCTGCTGGGCTTTGCCCGGCTGTTACTGTCAGGGGAGATCGCTCTGAAGGGCCTGCACCCGTTTCATGGCTGCACGTGAGCTCTCTCCTTCCCAGGACTGCGCGGAGAGGTAGGACGGTGTTTACAGGCCTGAGAGCAGCCTCGGTTTAGATCTTCGTGTCCACCTATAAACTGCAGAGAACAAGAGAGCACCGACCTGATCAAGTGTTTTCCAGGCCACGGGAGATAGCCACAGCTCAGAATTCTTACTTCATGCTAAGGCCCTTTGTTTATTGTTGCAAACTAGGTGTGGTTCACAGGAAGCCAGAGTTTGACTTTCAGCAAGTTCTCCACACTCAATTTAGATTTTAGATCTTCCTAGGCCATGGGAGAAAAAACCGTTCAATGGGAAAAAGTACCACTGGTTACGGTGCCAGCCTAGCATCCATCCATCCACCCATTCACCCACCCATCTGCCCATTCATTCGTACCCTCCTTCCTACCTGTACACGCATTGCTATTTCTGTGTTCTGAGCACCAGGCCAGGGCTGTGACTACACAGAATCACAAGACACCGTTTCAAGAGATGTTTACTGCAGTGCCATGAGAGTAAGCACTTAATAATGGGAAACATTCACCACGAGATGCAACCGTTGAAATGATGGTTACAAGGGAACCAAAAGAAGCCTGGAGAATACTTAGCTGTGACGGGCCTCTGACATTTGAGAAGCCCCGCTTGCTGTCATCCTGGCCAGATCATGTGTATGGGGGATGCTGCGGAAGGCTCTGATTAGAGCCCCACTGTGATGACCTTTGCCCACTGGCAAACGTCCCTGTATCCATCCTGGAGGTTTGGGGAACATAGGAGAGGCGGCTCCACTCTGACCTGGGGTCCAGGCTCTTGTAGGACCCAAATTGTGTTCGAGTATGTGTTTAAAGCAGAAGAATCACCAGGCGTGGTGGCACACGCCTGTAATCCCAGCACTCGGGAGGCTGAGGCAGGAGGATCATTGTGAGTTCGAGACCAGCCTGGGCTACAAAGTGAGCTCAAGGCCAGCCTGAACTGCATAGCAAGACCCTGTCCCAAAAATACAAAAACAAAACAAAACAAAACAAAAAACCACCAAAAAAACCCCCTAACTAAATAAAGCAAAAGAATTATGTCTCCATTTGTGCTTAAGCAGTAGCTCCCCTTGTGTACAACCTGATACTTGCACTTATATTCCAAGTTGGGCATTCCGCTGTAAAACAATACAAAAGACACCAAGGGGGAAGGAAGGTAGTGAGACAGACTGGTCATGTGGGAGGTCTTGTAGCACAGTGGTGCGTGAGGAAAGGGAGGGAACTATGTCAAGTACCCATGAGTCCATACTGACATAAACAAATGATTTCATAAAGAGGAGCTCAGTCTTTCAGAATTCTACCCAGCCTGTAGGAAACTCATAACCCCAGTCTAAGGCAAGAGGCAGGAGACAAACCCAACTTGAGGAGCTTTCTTTCTATAAAATACCTGACCAGGACTTCTCAAAACTGTTAAGTCATGAAAAGCAAAGAAAGACCAGAAAGTGTCATAGACTAAGTCTAAGGAGACGCAGTGATAAAAGTGTAATGCCGTATGCTGGGCGGGATGCAGGAAATGGAAAAGGACACTCATGGGCAAAGTGGAATACAGCATGAAGTCTAGCACTGAGATATAAATAATGGTTGTGCGTGCACTGTGGAGGCTGAGGCAGGAGGATCACTGCAAGTTCAAGGCCAGCCTGAGCTACACAGTGAGTTCAAGGGAGCCTGAACTACATAGTGAGACACTGTGTCAGAAAACCAAAACCAAAAAGTAACAATTATCTCATCTTTCCACCTGCCTGGAACTGCAACAGGCATTTCTTGTATTCAAATGGCCACATAGCCATTCACCGTCCACTCCATTCACTCGCTTGTCTGTTGTCTGAGGGAACACAATGAATACAGATAACAGAAAACAGGGCGGGAGATGTTTTGTTAATGGGAAGGGGACCGAGAGATGGAGGGGTGTGTTATGTACCCGCACAAACTGCCCACAAGGAATGTAATCATTATGTACTGCAAACATGGGCTAATAAAAACAATACAGGCCTGGTGGTGTACACTATAATCCCAGCACTTGGGGGCACTGAGGCAGGAGGATCACTGTGAGGTCGAGGCCAGCCTGGGATAGCAAGACCCTGTCTCAAAAGACAAAAGAAAACAAAAATTTGTAATTAAAAAAAATAAGATCACGCAAGAAGTGCCCCATGCCAAATACAAATATACTTTTGTGTATTCTGCATTTCAAAGGATGATTTTTTTCCATAAAACAAACCTCCAAAATTAACTCTTTAAATTTTAAAAACAACTAAATTACAGATATTTCAGTAAGCAGATAAAAAAGGAAGAGAAATCATCCATATTCCCATCATTCTAACCAAACCATGCTGATTCTTTTATATTTCCTTTCTTGTATATACTTTTCTTTCCAGGCAAATCGTTACACAATTGTAATTAAGGGTTATGTATACTTTCTTTTCCTATGTAAAATTCTTATTTTTATAAATTTTTATTTATATATTTATTTTCAAACAGGGTCTCTCTATGTAACCCAGGCTGGCCTCAAACTTGTGGCAATCATCCTGCCTCAGCCTCTCAAGTGCTGAGATTACAGCTGTGCGTCACCACGCCTGGCTAACTTCTTATTTAGACTACGTCAGATCTGCAGTAAGTTTAGAAAGACAGTACAAGAGTTCCTTAGGTACTCCTTTCCCAAGTTCAGTTTTCCTTAATCTTACATTACTGTAGTACATTTTTGTTCTTTAAAAAAAAAAAATTCCAGTCTACCCCAAAGGGGAAAAGGGTAAAGTTCCACCTCCCAAGGCAGAGAAATATATGTACCTCATTTGGGTTTCTCAGTCTTGAACACAGTACTCCGGGAGAGGTTGTGGACCCTCTTTACGACAGATACCTGCCAAGGCCTTTGATGTCCCAGGTACCGTGTGCAGAAAGCTCTTTTTCATCACATCCCGCCCGGCCAGACCACAGTGCCCAGCCTGTGCCCCTTACACAGTGTACCTTTGCCCCCGAGTCCCAGAGGAGTGTAAAACTGCTCTTTACAGGGACATCTTTCCCTACAAAAGCTTTGCAGAAACAGGTTGTGCTAGGGCCGGGTGTGGTGGCACATGCCTGTAATCCCAGCACTCGGGAGGCTGAGGCAGGAGGATCATGGTGAATTTGACGCCAGCCTGGGCTACAAAGTGAGCTCAAGGCCAGCCTGAACTGCATAGTGAGACCCTGTTGCAAAAAGAAAAACACAAAAAAACAACAAAAAAAACCGGTGTGTTTTCTGAGAATCCCACCAGGGCACAGGCACACGGATCACACTGGGTGTCCAGAACGCTCTCTCTGGTGTTGAGCTTGAACAAATAGGCAGCAGCGGCTG